CTGAAGGAACAAAACTCGACTGTACGTATCTACGAGAACATGACAGCGCAAAACAAGAGACTGTTCTGGCAGATAAAAACTAAAGCAACTGAAAAGGAATACAGGTTTGCGTGGCACAAGGAGGGCAAAATGTTCGTGCGAAAAGCTGCGGGCGATCGTACAGTTAGAATTCAAAGCGAAGACGACCTTGAATTGATTCGATAAAGTGGAAAGGAACGTGCAGCTTCACACTTATATTTTTTTTAATGGAAAGTTCACCATTATCTAATCTATGCGTTCAGCCTGAAAAGTTTATAAATGCTATATGTAACCGTAAACAATCTTTGTTATCCTTTTTTCACATGAATGTACGTTCCATGCTATCCAAAGTTGATGAAATTGAAGTTCTTCTTGATACCTTGCGTTTTTCTTTTAGCGTACTCATGTTCTCTGAAACATGGTATACTCCTGATTCAAATGACTTCGTCTTGCCTAATTACAAGCATTTTTCTATACGAAGAAATGCTAGAAGAGGGGGAGGGGTTTCAATGCTTGTGGAATCATCTTTGAATTGTTGCATTATTCCCGATTTTACAGAACTGAATGACTCTTTTGAAATATTGTCAGTACTTTCTGATAATTACGTTTTCAGTGTGCTATATCGACCTCCCTCTGGAAATGTTAACATACTGCTTCCTGCACTTGATAAACTATTCAGCTATGTTAATGACAATAATTATACCCTTTTCTTGGGAGGTGATTTTAATATTGATCTCTTAAAAACATCAACTATGCATGATGAACTATTTTCTGTAGTTGAGTCAAATGATTTTGAATGTGTTACTACGGATGCAACGAGAATAACAGAAAATAGCTGTACCTTACATGATTACTTCATTACAAACTGCAACAAGGAAGACATTTATGCATCAGGTTTAATTAGCTGCAGCATTAGTGATCATTTACCCATTTTTCTTCTTGTTAACACGAACTTCACTGCTCGCAAACAGAAATCGGAAGGATTTAGAACTCGTAACATTACGTCGCAAAGATTGCAGTTATTTAGGGACTCGGTTGGTACCGTTAATTGGGACTCTGTTTATGCCAATAATTCACCTGATGCAGCATATGAAGCATTTTTGGAAACTTTCAAAGACATTTATAACAAATGCTTTCCTTATAAGTACATAAAGCCTAGCAAGAGAGCAAAAAAACCATGGGTTTCCCATGATTTATTAAAAAAAATTCGTGTAAAAAATAGCTTATATCATAAATTTATAAATTCTAAAGACAATCATGATTTAGTGGAATTTAAGAAATATAGAAATAAACTGAATACGTTGATGAAAAAAGCCAAGCAAGAATATTATTGCAATCTATTTGGTAACATTAGGAAAAATGAGCCAGATAAACTTTGGAAAAATATTAGCCGGGTATTAAAGCCTCATGATCACAAACAAACTTTAACCGAAATTGTTCACTGTGGGCAAAAGCTATCTGGCACGTCACTCGCAAATGCCTTCAATGATTACTTGGTAAACTTAGCCACCGACACCCCTAATATAATAAATAGTGAAGACCCATGCTGTCATATTAAGGAACATGCGCATTCTTTTTTTTTTTAAGCCCAACTGATGAAAATGAGGTAATGTTGGCATTTCGAAGCATAAAAAATAGCAAAGGAGACGATGTAAATGACTTGAATATTAAGCCAATTAAATTTGTTATTGACCTTTTGGCTACACCATTCACATTTATATTTAATCTCTCAATGTCTTTAGGCGTATTTCCTACGCTTATGCAAACTGCTAAGGTTGTTTTGTTATTTAAGGGTGGCGATATTAACTTGTTGGGGAATTATAGGCCAATATCAATACTTTCCAATTTTTCTAAGGGATTCGAAAAAATACTGCATAGTAAACTGTCTTTATATTTGGAGCATTTTTCCTTGTTAACGAACAGTCAACACGGGTTCAGAAGAGGAAGGTCCACTGAATCCGCTCTATTGGCCCAAAAAGAAGTAATCATAAATAATATAGAACATAAACTACTGACATTATATATATATCGACTTTTCTAAGGCATTTGACTTAGTCAACCACAGTATACTTCTGAAAAAGTTACAATGCTATGGTATTCGGGGTCATGTACTCAATTTATTTAAGTCCTATCTGGCTGAACGGAGACAATTTGTTAAAATCAATAATTCAGTCTCAACTATAAAAACAGTACATACAGGAGTACCTCAAGGGAGCGTTTTAGGTCCTCTATTATTTATTTTATTTTCTAATGACATCGAGCACAGTGTTCCAGATTGCACAGTTATAGCTTACGCCGATGACACTACATTATTTTTGGAAGGCACGACTCTTGATGACATCGAAAAAAGGGCGAATCAGATGATCTCGCAGCTTCATAGTTGGACGGAAATAAATAGATTACGTATTAACATAAACAAAACTAAGTGCATGCTGTTTCGAGCCAAAAACGTGACTGTTCATTCTAACCCGAATATCACCATAGCCGGGGAGGCAGTCGCGATAGTAAAATCATTCAAGATATTAGGTGTGATATTTTCAGATAATTTATCATGGAATGAACACGTAGAATACATACATAAAAAAAGCCAGAAAAGCTGTTGGTACTCTATCCCGGTACCGTACAGTTTTCACCTCATTTGTTAAGTTAATAATTTTTCACGGCCTCGTGCAGTCATATTTTCAATATTGTCACCTGGTATGGGGTACCACTACCATTCAAAATATAAACAAACTTCTAACTCTGCAAAAAAAATCTCTAAGAGTGGTTGCAAATGTGTCCTACTTTTACCATACAGATGCTCTTTTTGTCCGTCTTAATGTTGTCAGAATAACACACCTACATTACTACCGCCTTCTTGTATCTTATAAAATAGCGCAAAAAAATCAGCATAGTTGTTTTCTACAAATAGCAAATTTAAATAAAAATACTAGTGTTTATAACACACGGCGAAGTGAAGAGTGGAGTGTACCCACCCCCCGAACAAATTATGGACTGACATCGCTCACATACATACTTCCATCTTTCTTGAATAAGCTGAATGTTGAAACAGATCTTAGCCATAGCTTACAATTTGAAGCTTTAATGTTGATACTGTCGAAGTTGTGAATTTTAGGCTTCGTGTTGTATGTGTACCGTGTCAATTGATATATTATGTTACATTAGAATCTTGTTAATGTCTTTATTTATTTTTTTTTTTTTTTTTTTTTTTTTTTTTTTTTTGCTTTTCTGAACTTGAAGAGTGTTTTCATTTCAGATTTGATTTTTGAGCAAAGCCCCGTACGCGCGCTGCTGTCTTGGAGCTGGGGCCTCGTCAAGCTGCACATGTTGCAGCTTTTTGCCCCAGCTACCTTCTTTCCTATGAAAGAAAAATAAAACGATTGATTGATTGATTGATTGGTTTAGTTTAGTGTTGACGGGAGGCCGTACATCTGCGTGCTATGAAAAAAGAAAGCTTCGAAAGGAACGCGAATATCTTTCCACCGGTAAGTTCGTGGATTGTTGAAACTCATGAAACTGCTCTGATGATATATTTGTGAAATCGAAGGCAGTTGGCAACCATGTGGGACCCCGAGGGTCTGCCTCGGGGTCCCGCCGCTTACGGCAGCCAGAATGCATGGGAAAATGGCGGACCTTTTCCTCTAGAGTTAGTATGTATGATCTCTATGCATGAGATAAACCTGTTCACTAGAAACTGAAACTGAGTGGCCAACTAGTTCCCAGAGTGCACTGCGTGGTATTTCGCCGCGATGGGGCGGATCGGTTTAGGAAGAAGTCTATTTCCACACGGCCGTCTTGGCCGTCTCTCCTCCCACGGGTCTACGTCACTTTCGGCGTCGGAGGAGTGATTTGCACACAGGCATCACTCGTCCGACGGGCGTGGTGCGAGAGTTCAACTTCAAAAATTGTTTTCTCGCTTTAAACAAAAATTACTTTGATTAAGCTTTCAGAATCAAAAGATTATCAATTGTTCTTCCAAACCCACCATGTTTTGTAGTTTTACTTGGACCACCTCAGGGTGGAATAAACGACTGTCTATGCCTCAAAGCGCACTTTTTCGCAAATTCGGGATTTCTGTTTACTGCGAGATATTTAATTGAGCGGTTTTAAACATTTTTTATAGATTATATACCTGCAGGGGCAGCCGGTAAAAAATTGTGTTAAGTCCCGGGAACAATTATATATTTTTTAATAAAGTAACAGAAATGTTAGAATTTTCAAAACTTTTTAGTTTAAAAAATATTTAAATTAAACAAAACTTCACACACCCAACCACATTGTAAGTCGAAAGCCGTGCATAGGTAAGAAAAAATATTGTTAGGTGTTTCACTAAAAAGATGATTGCCTAGTTTCACTATGGTGCCTGGATCGCGTCTCTGACTGGTGTGTTAAGTTTCACGCTGTTTTTAAAAGTTAAAATCGCGCTGACGTCATCAAAAATTTTTTTCGCCAAAAATATTTGAGGGCTAGGCTACGGACATTGCGAAAAAAGGCCATGATTTTTTTTTTCTTTTTTTTTGTTGTTTAATCGGAAGGGGTTGAGCGTCATGGAATGTCAAAAGCCCAGACGTTTGACATGGAATGACCCAAATGCGATTTTTCTGCATGCAAATGGCCGTCCGGTGGCCGCAACGTTGGGTGGCCGCGATAAACGAGAAATATAGTTTCCGACTCCCACCACTCTGAAATGGGGTGGCGCCAGTAGTCGTCCTCCTCCACTGGTGAGCCTAGATTGTAGAGAAAGTCCATCTCAAACCATGGGGAACGTTTGCAATTTAATGGCGGACGCCTCTAGCAACGTTGCTTCTGGCGAAGATTAGTCGCAAGTGCGTATGCACTGCTTTCTTGCTTGGCAATGAAGAAAGCGGGCGGAAAGGACGCTCGCAGATGACCAACGCGCTCGCATTACAACACGTGGCTTTGATCGAGCAGTTGGAAACTCTCTAAGATGTAGGCTCTCTTTCCTCCTCTAAATTCGGGAAAGAGAAAAAACTGTCCTTTCCAGCGTCCAATGGTACAATGTCCAGCAGCGCAAAAGAAATTTCGATGAGCCGCCGAAAATCTCGAGAGAATTTGCATCGCTAAACTCGCGTTCCCGCGCAGCAATCATATCTGTTCGCGCCCTCTGAGAGCAACGATAAGTAGTCAAGCCAGGCTGTCATGTGTTCACTTCGACGATAAGCTCGCATCAACTTCACCGCTCCACTCGACTCTGAAAAGATCGCGTCCGCGACATTATTGCCCCTAAAAGAGCTCGACAATGAGGGGCTATCACGCATTCACGCTCTTCAGCACATTAATGTTCTTTGATCTCTACACTTCGCAAGTGGCGTCCCAAAGTTCCGGCAACAGTTCGCTGGTACTGCTCCAAATCGTGAGTAAACAAGCTCCCTGCACCTCAGCGAGGCATTCGTGCTTTTATATATAATTTTTTTCTTCCGAAGTGTCTGTCCAGACTTCTTTCGTCACGGCAATAAATCTGTCGTGTCGAAGACGTCAAAGTTGAGACGTGTACCGAGAAACCGACCGGCGAGGAAGTCGGAGTGTTGGTCAAAGCAGCTGTTGCGCTCGTGCTGACGTGCCCGGGAGTTGGATCACGGAAAACGCTAAATCGCGGTCAAGTCCGCGTTTCCGCTTTCTTTGCCACACCGCCGACTTCGAGACACGTTTACGTGCTGGTTGATTCGTCGTCTGTGATTTGCAGGTGTACAGGCACGGCGACAGGACGCCGATAGCGACGTTCAAGAAAGACCCGCATCAAATACCGACGTGGAAAGAAGGCCCCGGTCAGCTGACGAAGGTGGGATCAGTGGTTGCTGTATTCTTTGTTTTAGCACTCTTTGAATGGACTGCTCGTGAATCCTGCAATGAATTGAATTCCCACTCCACCTCCTCGTTTGGGCGCTTGAAAGAGAGGGTAATGTTGTGCAGAGTGCTTAGTGGACTTAATCGGCAATCTTTTTTTCATTTTTCTTTTCTTCGGTCCAGAACTGAATGCTAAGTGTTTGGCTACTTGTCTAAAAATCATAGGAATGTTCTGATATGTATCGGGTTTATAATGAATCCCTGGGCCCTAACACGAGCCAGAAAAGTCAACGTGCAGATAGAGAACTCAAAATTTTGCGGAATGTGCATTTAGGTGGTGGATTTTACTTCCTGAAATTTCAAGACATAGCTCCTTCCTGTGAAAAATGAGATGAAAAAACTTGCCAAGGTCAACGATAGACGTATTTGCAGACGACCGAGTTAGCAAAGAAAGGGCACATTCAGTAGCGGCTCCCTCGGCTCTAAGCAGAGTAACTGGATGCGGAGTTCTCCAAGCGTTTACTGAGTGTCAAAAAGGCGCAGCTTTTCAGCTGCTTCTATGCAGTTTCTGCTTACTCCCCTGTGGCAGACCTCGCATTCACTCCAATTTAGCTGCACAAACAAAACACTAATCGAGATCATGTTCTGCATAAGTGTCAAACAGTGCACCAAAGTCACGTTCATATTCTGCCTTGCTCTGTTTAGCACGGACAGGACTATTGCCAATAATTACAGATTTCGTGCAACGGCGATCTAAGCACGGCACCAAGCGAATGTTTGCCTGGTTTATTAGCATATCCAAAACAAAAAAGACAAAAAATGTGCTCAAAGACATTTTTTGAAGAGAGCCTGAGCTGGTAACAAAATCCAAACGTGTTATTTGTTTTACCTTGAACACTTTTGAGTTACAAAAGCGAGCAAATCGCTGACCCATGCCGCAGCCGACACAACTTCTCCCACCATTTTGTTTGTTTTTTCTCTTTCAGCACCAGAACTTAGTCCACAATCTAAAAATATGTCATACCTTGCTCTTTTTACTCCCTGTGCACCAACTTCGGACTCTGCTCACGGGAGCTTGACTCCAAGAATTCGGAGTTACGTCCACCAGAACTCGCCTTTTGCTGTATAGTGCTACGAACACTGGCTCCTTGACTCTTGGAGCCGCTAGTGATTGCTCTCAACGCAACTTGTGGCACCATTTCCTGATAGGACGAAAAAGTGCGTTGTCCGCTTGCTGTGTCTATCGGGAGATGGCTTCACAAGCTACAACCATGGCTAATTTGGTCGTCTGCAACATGTCTGCCGTTGACCCTGGCAAGTTAGTTGGTCTCATTTTTGACAGCTTTAAAATTTCGCGAAGTAAAATGCACCACCTAAATATACATTCAGTGAAAGTTTGAGCTTTCTACATGGAGGCGCTGGTATTTCCGGCTCGTTTTTTTTAAAGCGCCACGATCCATTGTTGCCACCCTATATTAACAGTGCCAGAGAACACAATGGACAAGAACGAGACATATATGTATAGAGCGATTACCGACAACTGTTTATTTGGAAAGATGTATGCCATATTTTCCGGTCCATACGTCGAATTGTTGTACAAGTCGCACCCTATAAAAACTGCCATTCCCGCAAAAAAGTTGGCATTTGAGTCGCACCTTTGCACAAGCCAGACTTTTTTATATTGCTGACACGGATTATCAGGGAAAGCACATATTTTCTCGGGCCCCGGCCGTGCTCAAGCTTGAACAAGAAAGTTTCTGGGCTGTGCCTGGGTAGTCGTGTGCCATAAATTCTAAATTGTTGATTACAAAAGATTGCTCATTGATCTTTTAGGTTCATCGAAAACAAAAAAAGCGAAGTGCAAAGTCACTACAGTGCCGTTAAAAATAATAGCAAAAAGGCGTCTTGCAGTTAGAAAGCCTTCAAGCAGATAAGAGAAAACATATGGACTCCACCAGCATAGTGGGAGAGTGCAGGCAAGAAAACGAGGGCATTCCGGTTGCAGGGTACAACAGGATTGTCCTTTTCCTCTGCTTTTCAAACTAAAATAAAGAAGAAAAAGTGTGACCTCGACTTTGTACTTTCTGCGGGGGTCTTACTATGCCACCAAAGATAAGCTAAGGTATCCTAAATAACTTTTTGTTTATCCCGCTTTTTGAAGATGCTCTAGTGAGATTGTGTTTGTCTCTTCTTTTCTTCTGGAATCTTTCCGGGTTTGAAATGACCAGTACAATCGACCTACGTCCTGCCCATGTTACTAACCGTCCAATAAAAAATGGACGCTTGACGAGTCCATCTTTCCAGCGAAACTTTTCTTGTATTATAATTTATTTTCTATACTGCCACTCTCTGTCCTGGTGGCAGCAATGGAAGGTAGTGCGCCAACATCGGTCATCGGCGAGTTTATGCAGGGCATCACCTGCAGACTCTACAAACTTGTTGAGGAGACAGCTCTAAGAGCTCTGTATGGGAAAAATTTCTCGCAGTCGTGGACTCCAGAACGTCGGTGCCCTAACCTGTTCAGTGTCGTTCGTATAAATCCTTCTTTGTCTACAATTCTTCAACGACCGTGACGTCTCATCTCAGTCGCCACAAGTGCAAGGTTTCATCGAACAGCGCAATTATTTCTCCTTTTTTATCACCTCAATGCCTTAAACCTCCCGTGCCCACAGACGTAAAGGAGAAAGTGACGACCGCATGCGCACGTCTTTGTGCGAAAGGCATGCGACCATTCGATGTCGGCAGCCGCAGTGGCTTCAGGGCCGTTGCAGAAGAGCTGATTCAGATCGGTGATAGATACGGAAAGGTCAACACTCAAGATAATCTGTCGTATCCCACAACTATGTCGCGAAGAGTCGCCAAAGTTGTGGCGGCTTTAAAAGAAAGCATCATGCCCGATATCCAATTTGCGCTCAATGAAGGCTGGTGCACCATTACAACTGACATGTGGACGGATGATTTCAAGAAGATCGCATACACGACAGCTGCCACACATTATATTGACTCTAACTGGAGCATGCACTGCTGTGTTGTGTTCACATGTGACTTCCCCATTAACGAAAAACTAAGGACAACATTTTTTCACTTTCATAGATTATTACTGTGTTTATGACCCCCCCCCCCCCCCCCCCCCCTCTGTAATGCCCAAAAGGGTTTTTAGGGTAGATAAATAAATTAATGAAATAGACTAGTATGGATGTTCGTGTAGCTGGGGGTGTGTGATGCCGCTTTGAAGAAAGCAAGGTTTGTAACCGACCAAGGAGCAAATATTGTGTGTGCACTGCAGGCTTATGAGAAAATGGATTGCAGTGCACACGTGCTGAACACTGTTCTGCAGAACACGTTTGCAGAGGACTTGGTTTCCAACGAGGTTCCGTCGGTTATCGAAACAATCCAGGCGACCAAGGCCGTTGTAACTTTTTTAAAGCAAAGGGACTTAGCCAACCAGTTAAAGCAAACTGTCAGTCAGGAAGTCCCCACAAGGTAGAATTTAAAGGTATCCATGCTAAGGTCCGTCTGCTCTCAGTTTGAGGGGATAAAAGCTCTACTGGAGTCAAGGAACAATGCAGTGAGGGAAAGCGTGAAAAAGACAACACTCAATGAGTTTATTGAGTTTCTGCAACCCTTTCAAAGATGCTTGCGATGCACTCAAGGAGGAAAAACGTCCAATGCTTCCTCTGACTGTGCTTTATGCTTCCGCATTGAAGAAACATCTTGAGCATGCTCTGGTGTCTGTAGTAGGGGCAGTAGAAATCGAGAAGATCAAGGCTTGTGCTCGCCATTTCCTGGACACGAAGCTGAAGATTTCCTTCCTCCACAAGTCCGCTACATTTCTCTGGTCTCAGTTCCGCCAACTCCGCGTGTTGCCCGAGGACAAGCGCCTTGGAAGTGTACGCACACGTTGCAGAGCTACTTGCCCGTGTCACTGAAACAATGGCGCAAGGTGAAGACTAGACTAACGATGACGTTCGAGATCCCACTCCGAAAAGAAGGCGCCTGGGTTTGTTTCAAGACTGGTGTCACATGGAGGGTGACAAGGTGGCCACTGACAAATCGGAGGGGTATCTGCACGGCAAGAAGGACTACTCGTGCTCAGGAGTGTTTGAGCTTCGACTTCTGGAGAGCGCACGAGAAGGAATTGTTGAAACTGTCCCTTTTATCCAAACGCATCCTGTGCATACCTGCTGCAACTGCTAGCAGCGAGTGGAACTTAGTGCGGCGGGCTACATCATGCGAGCAAGACGGACCTGCCTGAAGAAAGAGACCGTGGACAACTTATTGTTTCTCCACAAAAACATGTAGGAAGGAAAGTTCTCTGTGAAACGAATTGAATGGAACGATGAAAAGTGCAATATCTGTTCAAGAATTTCATAAATAAAAACTTCCCCACTTTTGTCTCAAGGATTCTCGGTGTGCCATGAGCTAAAAGGCTGTTGCAAATGACGTGCATATTTCGCTCATATTCTCGAATACATCTTCTAAGTCGGCATAATTATGGTGTAAAAAAAACTCTGTTCCAGTTTTCCAGTTCGGGCTAGGCCCAGGCGGGTCGGGCTGGGCCTAGAAATTTTGACCCGTGCAGTGCTCTAGTTCAAAGTGAACCTTCCACTGTATAAAACAAGCTGGAAAAATCGGTGCTTGCAGATGGAAAACTCTAACTTTCACCAAATGTGCACTGCACAGGTCAGTTTTACTGTGTGAAATTTCAAGGAACAGTTATTTTTCTGTAAAAAATTAGATCAAGAATACTTGCAAAGTTAAGGTTGGGTGTGTTCACAGGCGACCGAGATAGCGACGTCATTTGCTTGTGGCGCCATCTCCTAATAGGTGCAGTGAGCAGACGATACACTCTGTTGTCTGCTCGCTGCGCGCGCCACAAGTAAATGGCGTCGCCATCTTGGTCGTCTACGAATGCGCCCAACCTTGATGTTGGCAAGTTTCTTACTCTAATGCTTTATGGGAAGAGAAATGCAACTTGAAATTTCACACAATGAAACTGACCTGCTCAATGCATATGAAAGTTTGAGCTTTCTACGTGGAGGCACTGATTTTTCCGGCTCGTTTTACAGCGGAAGGTCCATTCAGGACACCCTATATCTGCTCTTTGTAGTATATTTTATTACTAATCTAAACAACCGTTAATGCAGTAGCTATATAATGACAAAATGCCGGGCTATTTTATTATGATCTGCACGCTGGAAATTATACTGCGCTCAGCATGCCTGGCAATCTTAACTGGAAAAGTACAGGACGAGCCCCAACTTGGAAGTGACACATTGCTTAGAAAGCAAAGGAAAATGGAACACAGCAAAGTGTGCCAACACACATGCACTCTTTGCACGCGTCAAAAATAAGACAGTTTGTTGTCGATTATAGAAATTGATGGCATGCTGACCATGTTGCCTTTCATTTGCACACTGAAGGCATTGCAGTTTTCTAGTATGCTTATTGTGAGAACATTTTAAAATGGTTGATTTATGTAATTTCCGTTTACAGCTTCAGCTTGTTCGGTTTGACATCAATTTCCCTATTCAGGAACAAAACGTTCCATCTTCAACATACGCAAAAATTTGTGGGCATCACTAGAAAACGCTTTTGTTTCTTATGTTTCCTTCTTCTCTCCAAATAAAGTATTTGGTGCAAGCCAATGCTGGTGATGTCTTCCTGTTCTCTTGTTGTGGCTTGACTTAATTTCGAAGATGTTTATGTTACCTTATTAATGCTCTATGGCCTCACGACTGTTTGGACGCAGCAACTAACCTGAGCCTCATTGTCTCTTGTTCCCATTGTTGCTACAGCGAGGATGCATGCAGCATTACAAACTTGGGACCTACCTGCGCCAGCGGTATGCAGACTACATTACTGGAAATCCACACGAGGTAAGTGCACAATCTTGGTAAGTTTGCTGGTATGCTGAAACGATTCACACTGTAACGAGAGTGTTCGTCCGTAGTTGATTTTGTAAGTGCGAACATTGACGATTGTCTATGCTCTTGTCGTGATCTTTAATAGATCTCCAGAAATCGAGAGGGAACTGATCTTTATGAGTAAAAGGGCCTCGCTCGCGAAGCTCAAGTAAACGCGAGTCATTTTCGTTGGCAGTACCGCAAAGTGATATTTAACTGTATTTTTTTTTTGCAAATCAAGTCTTGAAATCCTCAGGCTCTCATTTGTCGCCCTTCTTTTTCGTGTAGCATTTGAACGGCAAATATTGGGAGACTTGTTTAACATTTCGGTTCACAGGCACTAGAAGATATGACTGATACTCTTGCACGATAATGAGTGTGAGAATGGATATATCCACCTTTAGGAACTATGAGGCCTGTTTGGTCAAAAGCTTTGTTTGTTTTAGTTTTTAAAGACTTATGAAATGCTATAGAATTTAAAATGTTTGCATATTAAACGAGGCCCATCACCCCCACCTACACAGGACAAGCAATGGTTCCAGTATAGTGGTAATTTTTTTAGGACTTCTTTCGAGCTGGTGGGGCAATGGAAGCTACGGGCTCATTGGACCGGTCAGACATCTTATCTTTTACCATGTGATAACGCTCCTGCCCATATACACGTGCAAAGTGTGGGGTGAGGGGATAAAAGGGAGGCGGTCGATTGGTCCATTGAGCTCGTAGCTCTGGCCGCCCTTTCAGCTTAGGGGTGAATGGAGTACATGGAGCGAAGAGCACGCCAGAAACATTGGCTGCTGTTGCAAGGCTAATGAGTTGGATTGTCCGGCAGAAGGGGTACAACGCCGTCAACACTCCTTTTTCCTGCGGTGTCGCAGCTGATGGTGTGGAGTTCGGCCAAGGACCGCTGCCTGATGAGCGCCTCGTGCCACCTGGCGGGCCTGTATGTACCTCCTCTGGATTGGGTCTGGGACAAGGACTTCCTCTGGCAGCCTGTCCCAATCCAAACGAGGCCCGTTTACAACGACGGGGTGAGCGGTCTTTGGCACAGCCTAGACTCTTTGCATGTTTCTAGGGTGTTCCTACTCGGCGTCGACCATTTTGTTCTAAGTGGTCAAGGCTAGCATAGCTTTCACATGCTCTCGCAGCAGTGCGGGGCTGCGGCACCACGGAAGCTACACTAGCACGAAATAGTTGATGCCGAGCGTAGTAGTTAAAATGTATGAATAAATATTGGAACACTCAATTTTCTGCGTAGCAACTTCTGATGACACCGCCGTTCAGAGTGTGTTAAAATGGGGCAATGGATATGCAGTTTTATGCATTGAATGGTTTTAGCAAATGTGGAGAGCTACATTCAGTCAAGCGGACAAAGCTTTCTAATTGAATGCTCAACCTTTTCCCATGGTCTAAGATGATGGTGAGCCTAAAGACCGGCCTTGGAAATGGAGTGTTTAAAAATGAATTTTTTGACAGGGAATGTTTGGTTAGGAATATGAATGAGATACGGTAAGCAGATTAAAGTAACCATGTTATGCCATTCTTCGGTGGAATGATGTGCCACGGAATGTCAGCCCATTTTTAACTAATCCTTCTCAGGAAGTTTTTTTGCAACTACAGTCAAACCTGTTTTTAACGAACAGCAGGAAACTCTACGATCAGTTTGATATAGCGAGTAGTTCGATATTGCAAAAACCATTTACAACGAACTTCCACGATGTGTTCGTTGTAAGGCAAGAGCTTCTCTTTCTTTCTCTTCTCTTCGCTTCTACCTTGTAACAAAACGCTGGAAAGTATTTTTTTTTTTTATGCGTGCAAAGTTTTTTTTTTTTTTTTGAGCTTATGTCCCCTTCTGAATCACTTCTCTTCGTGGGCAACCCCTTCTGAATCGCTTCTCTTTGTCAATTTTGTTTGTGGCTTGACCTTTTTGGAATTTTCTTTCTTTCCTATTTTTTTTTGTGGAGAAGGGACAGGCCAGAAGACGATTGTTTGCGCGTTTTTGGAAACTTTCCGGGGGGAGAAAAAGTTTGATATAGCCAATGTGTTGTTTGTTATAAAAAGAAAAAGCACTTTTATTGCAGACCTGTTAAGGGCCAGTTTCCCGAGGATTGTGTCCCCCGCAAAGAAATGTCGATGCAAAACTCTGGACAGCTACCGCCATCTATGAGTGATGGCGGCAACCAGACAACCAGCTTACCGGCATCGCTCATAGATGACGGCAACCTTCCAGCCTTTCCACTCTGGTTTTCACCAGAGTGGAAAGGCTGAATTTCTCTAGGTGTCGTCCTAGTTGTCGTTCTCGAGGTCATCCTGGAAGTCCTCCTAGACGTCGTCCTTGAGGTTGTCCTTGAGGTCGTCGTAGAAGTCATCTTTGAGGTCATCCTAGAAGTCGTCCTTGAGGTCGTCGTAGATGTCCTCGAGGTCGTGCTAGTAGTCCTTGAGGTCGTCCTTGAGGTCTTCCTAGACGTCGTCCCTGAGGTCGTCCTCGAGGTCAACCTAGAAGTCGTCCTCGAGGTCATTTTAGACGTCGTCCTCGAGGTCGTCCTAGACGTCGTCATCGGGGTCGTCCAAGGAGTCATGCTTGAGGTCGTTCCATCATAGTACAGCTTCGCTGGTGTTCCTTCTTCACCAGAATGGAAAGGCCGAAAGATTTTTCACTTGCATTTTTATTTAAATTTTTCATGAGTTCGATATCGACAATAATTTGCTGTTCGTGGGTTTGTTCTAAACGGGTTTCGCTGTATAACATAAGTGCCTCTTATTCGTCACAGCATGGGCATACCTTTAAGCCCATGCACAAAGTTTTGTGAAACGTAACTAATGTTTTACCTGAGTGTCAAAATATTTTAGGTATGTTTTTTCAAATCGCAGGCAGTCAACTGTACACATTATTTGTACAGTCGATGGCCCTTCATCTTTATTTGATGGAACTTTAATTTCGACAAGAGCGTCCTTGGAACTTTGCAATTTTGACCTTGCAGATGCTCGTGCCCGGAGATTGCATCTGTCCCGAAGCATCGGCTGAGTACGAGCGCTTCAAGAATTCACCAAGGGCACAGGAATTCTTGAGGAACCACCATGTGAGGACGTAACGCGCGCCATCGTCAAACAGATCTTGTTCATTTTGGTTTACGATAAATGGCTTATAAGTAGGGTTTATATACCGATATACCCTGAAATAGAACCCCCAAGACGGTTTTATCAAAGTCTGAGGAGAAAAAAGTGAAAGCCGTTTACAACTCCCTGTAACACCGAATTAGAGCACAGCTCTTAAGGAGGAGGAGGGAAGGGTACTGGGGGGGTGAAGTGACCTGGGGGGGGGTCACGTGACCTTGGGGGATCACGTGACGATGCCGATGATGTCATCAGTGACGTCACTGGTGACGTCATCAGTGACGATGACGATGCGGACTCCGATGACGTCATCAGCGATGATGACGATGCGGATGTCGGTGACGTCATCAGTGACGTCACTGATGACGTCATCTGTGATGATGACGATGACCATGCGGATGCCCCCCGAAGTCACGTGACACCCCCAGGTCACGTGACCACCCCCAGGGTCACGTGACCTCCCCGATGACGTCATCGTCACTGATGACGTCACCGGCATCCGCATCGTCATCATACTGATGACGTCATCAGTGACGTTACTGATGACCTCACCGGCATCCGCATCGTCATCGTCATCATCACTGATGACGTCATCAGTGACGTCACTGATGACCTCACCGGCATCCGCATCGTCATCATCACTGATGACGTCATCAGTGACGTCACTGATGACGATGCGGATGCCGATGACGTCATCGGGGAGGTCACGTGACCTCGGCGGGGGTCACGTGACTCTGGGGGTGGTCGCGTGACCTGGGGGTGTCACGTGACTTTGGGGGGGGGTCACGTGACTTCAGGGGGGTCACGTGACCCTGGGGGAGGGGTCACGTGACCTTGGGGTGACCTTGGGGGCCACGTGACCTTGGGATGACCTTGGTTACGCCGACAACGACGCCAACGGCGACGCCGACGCCGCTCAAGCCGGGAACGGGCCCCTAAGAGCTGCGCTCTAAAACCCGAGGCACCCCCAATTAAAGCCTATCTTTAAAGAGGCAAAACTAAGCTTCACTGGAAGAAGCCTTTCACTAGAGCTTCATTTCGTGTTAACTGAGATCGGAGCCCCCCCAGACCTGTTGACGAGACTGCTGCTTTCTTAGGTCTTTTCCTTATCTCGTTTCCTTATCTCGTTTCCTTTGCTTATCTCGTTTCCTTTCCTTATCTCGTTTCTTTTCCTTATCTCGTCTCTTTTCCTTATCTCGTCTCTTTTCCTTATCTCGTCTCTTTTCCTTATCTCGTCTCTTTTCCTTATCTCGTCTCTTTTCTTATCTCGTTTCCTTTTCTTATCTCGTTTCCTTTTCTTATCTCGTTTCCTTTTCTTATCTCGTTTCCTTTTCTTATCTCGTTTCCTTTTCTTATCTCGTTTCCTTTTCTTATCTTGTTTCCTTTTCGTATAGGTACCAGGATGTTTCCCAATTTGTCAATTTTTATTTAAATTTTTTATAATTTTTCATTTTTCATATGCATGTTCCCTGGGGGTTGGTGAATGCCACTCTCGTGTTCTGTCCTCTCCAACGTAGATATGCCCCGAAGAACAGAACTCTGATTTTGTTTTTGTGCGACACCGAAAGTCGACGCCTAAAACCCCAAATCTAAAAAAAAAAAAAAATGGTAAAAACATCTTTTTAATGTGAAGAAAAATAAACCTTCAATACGCAGAACACCACTTGTAAGTAGGGTTCTAAGTTTTTGGGCTCTGCATTGTCGGGGTTTTATTTTCTTCAAATTGGAAAGCTTTTTTTCAGGGATTTTATTTTTATTTTTTTCTCGCAGATTTGGTGTTTAAAGGGCAACTCCGCTCAATTCCGAAAAATTTAGGCTTAGATGTGATTCCATTTCACAAAGCACTATTAAACAGCTCTACGTCCTCGGATTCGCGAAATGTGGAATATTATTTGTGTAATCTTAATTTAAACATCAGCTGAAACCGAAACTTCGGTTGCGTCAGGCAACATTGGTCTCGTGCCGTCAGAGCCAAGGCCACGTCACGTCGAACCACGTGGTCTTGTGACGTTGGGGGGGGGGGGGAGGGGGGCAAGTGACAGGACACGCGACGCGGGCAGGTCGCTTCGCAAGGCGTGGACGGTGGTGGCCCAGGGGAGAGGGGGAGACAACGAAAGAGGAGAGGGGAGCGGAGAAACGGACCGATAAGCGCGCAGGCAGCGCAAACTAGCGCATCCGCATTACGGTGATCACGTGGACGCCGTTCAGCCAACACTGAGAGGAGAAACTCATGATGCATCGTTCAATTTCGCTCTGAGAAGTGAAAACAAACAAAACGTGAGAATGACGTAGTCATGCCTCTGACGTAGTGGCTCAACGTTGGCCGCTCCAACTCCGTCGCATCGACTGCGCTGAAGATTGCGCCTCACGTCGCACGCTGGAGTTGGCAGATTTCGGCTACTTGGCTGATTTAAAAGTTTGCTGGCCTGTTTATTAAAGGGACCATGAAATGATTTTAAAATCGAATTTCATCCACCGCACGTCGTAAAAGGTGTGAAAAGGAACACAAAAACACAAAACTAGGGAGCCAAAAAAAATTATTTGCTATAGAACTTTTAAAAGAAAACTGGACTCTTTTGCGACTTCTTTCCTTCGAAAGCTCTGCCTTTTCACTACGATGCATACGCAGAATCGGTGCACGTCAGCCGAATCCACGTCGCCTATTGGGTAAGAGCCTACCTCACCAGCACCGCGATCGTAAACAATAAATAGCCGGCGAATGTTTCCTAAAAGTTTTGTTAAATAATATTCAGATCCACATTTTGTAGCATAATTAGAGATGTATGGCGAAAATTGCCAAATTTGATAATGCTGAGAGCCAAGCGCCATCTATCGTGTGGTAAACGAAGCAACTACTGCGCGTGCGCAGTAAGGCAGGGCCAAGTCCAGAACGGTTATTTCCTTTGGTTTCCTTCCTCTCAAAACTCTGACTGACTGAACGTTTATTTTTCTACGTGTTCATCTCGCGCGTGCCGACTTCAAGCAGCAAGAAAGAAATGTACTTAAAACAAACCACGACGAACAAGAACGCTGGATCCACGAACACCCGAGAAGAGCGACAACAGCCGCGAATCCCGCTCCGACGAAACTCTCGGAATATAGGCCTAGCAGGCACTCCGACTCGGCGCAGCGTTGCTTCGTCGCAAGACCGTCTGCCTACGACCGGCTGGCGTACCCTTGTGGACCCTTCCGTATTATAGTTTGATCGCTGACCTCAATTTTAGGTTAAGAGGTGAGGTCAATCTCTTCTTCTTGTTTTCCGAGGCAGTGTTGACGAACACTCGTCGAAAAGGGACCCTCGTCGATCCTCTCCTTGTTTTGTGTGATATAGAGCTGAAATAAACGCTGTATGGATTACCTTCGTAGCACGGTATGTACACTTTGTTATTTGTATGCCATTTTTATTCTGACAGACTGCACGTCACTGTCGAGCTGTAACAGTTCGTGGGAGGTATACGTGCAATACCGGTCCAACCTTTCTTTGCCGAGTGTCGCGTCAGTATCGAGTTGCAATTGTAAAAGATCGGTCCCGAAGCGCTTACCAACAGCGCGAATACAGCACTTCATCAAACGCGCGCGTCCGCTCCGAGTGTGAACTGGTATTTACGTGGCTCTTGCTGACAGTTCAAACGTATCTTTTTTAACGTCGGCTCGCTCCTGCATCTCCGAGACCGCGAAAAACGCCGCGGCAAATTGTTCCCATCTGCACTTCCCAACAGGCATACCGGCGTATGGGACTAGTCCCATGCTGTCGCTGTAGCGCAACGTATCTCATTGAATTTCGTTCAGCTGCGATGCGGCGATGAGAGGCGCCGATTCAGAAAATACGTCGGTGACATCGGCGCAGTAAAACCCACCGGCGCACCCCAACTCGCTAACGCTCCCATCTCCTACTGCAGAGAGAACTTCCGGTTCCGGAAACATCGTACGTCACGGCTTGTTTTGCGGTAAAAAAAAAGTCGATATTTCATTAATTTTTTGTGTAGAAGTTAATAAACCGAGACGAAAACGGATGCCTGTTCGGCATTCAGTGAACATTGACGGTTTATTGTAAAAGTTATGTGGAAAAAGTCAAAAAGTCATTTCATGGTCCCTTTAAATATATAGACGGAGTTAGATCGTAATATTTGACATGGGGTCTTCCTATATGATACTGAAGAGGGCTACATAGTTTTCTAAATATCAAAAATGAAACGGAGTTGCCCTTTAAAGGGGCACTCAAGTGGATTCTGAGACTGTCTACTTATTGTCATAACTCAATCTATGGTATCCAAGCATCCGAAGAAACCCGAAATTGCATACAATACATTCAAGGGCGGCTGATTCTTCTATTAAAAATCTAATCAAAGATTGTGCCATGCCCCCTTTCTGCATTGTGGCGCAGAACACCAGGGAGCACCACTGGACGGGAAGACAGCAGTAAAGAGCATGCGACAGCTAATCACGGGTGATGGCTTCCTGGCAAACTGAATTTTCGAATATTCGCGCCTACGAAAAATCAGTTCGCCGGGAAGTTGTCACTCGTGATTTGCTGTCGCGTGCCCTCCCCTGCTGCCTTCCTGTCTGGTGGCAACCCCTGGTGTTCTGTGGCACGATCTTTGATTGAACTTTTACTAGGAAAATCGGTCGCTCTTGAATGTTATTTTAAGTTTTTAAGGATGCTTGGATCTCACAGATTGAGTTGTGACAATAATTAGACGGTGTCAGAATCCAATTGAGTGTCCCTTAAAGGTGTCTATTTTCGGTGTCGGACCGAAAATCAGCATTTATGAGGGCTTGTGTCAAAGAAAAGAGGACGCGGTCATATGATCCACCAATCTCCTGGGGATATGCACCTGGCCTGAGCGGTACTTGGAAAACATCCTGGGATCGATACGAAAAGGAAACAGGACAGTAGGTTCAGCTCCCGAAGGAACAAGCAGCCTTATGGACAGTACAGACAATGCATTTGTCTTTTGGGTCAAGA